GTTTTGAACGTTTTTTGGGGGATCGGGAACGAGAGGAGGAGGAGGAGGAGGAGGAGGAGGAGGAGGAGGAGGAGGAGGAGGAGGAGGGAGGAGGAGGAGGAGGAGGAGGAGGAGGAGGAGGAGGAGGAGGAGGAGGAGGAGGAGGAGGAAAGAGGAGGAGCAGGAGGGAGGAGGAGGAGGAGGAGGAGGAGGAGAAGAGGATGAAGAGGAGGAGGGGGAGGAGGAGGAGGAGGAGGAGGAGGAGGAGGAGGAGGAGGGCGCCCGAAGGCCCCGTGACAGCCCCTTGCACCACGAAGCCGTCCGCCGGCCGAGCGCACGGCCCCGAGCTCTTCTTGAGCCTGTGCTCATCCTGTCCGAAGAGCACGCGGGGCCCGGCATCTGGTCTCCAGCTGCGCAGCCAGCTCCTTCTTCCCCTCCGTTCCTCCTCCTGCTGCTGCTGCTGCTGCTGTTCCTCCTCCTCCTCGTCCTCCTCCTCCTCTTCCTCCTCGTCCTCCTCCTCCTCTCCTCCTACTCCTCCTCCTGCTCTCCCCTCCTCCTGCTCCTCCTCCCTCCTCCTCCTCCTTCTCCTCCTCCTCCTCCCCCCTCCTCCTTTTCCTCCTCCTTTCCTCCTCCTCCTCCTCCTCCTCCTCCTCGTCCTCCTCCTCCTCCTCCTCCTCCTCCTCCTCCTCCCTCCTCCTCCCCCTCCTCCTCCTCCTCCTCCCTCCTCCTCCTCCTCCTCCTCCTCCTCGTCCTCGTCCTCGTCCTCCTCTCTCCTCCTCCCTGCTCCTCCGCCTCCTCGTCGTCCTCCTCCTCCTCCTCCTCCTCGCACGTGCCCCAAGAAAGAGTCCTCAACGCCCCGACCGCGCGCGCGAAAGAGAAGCCCGCGCCTGGCTGTGCAGGGCGTAGCTCTCGGGAGGCGTGGCCAACACCTTGCCCTGTGCTAAGAGGAGGTTGAAGAAGAAGAAGGAGGCGACAGGAACCTCGAAGGAGCGGGGGGACGGGGAGAGAAGCCCAAATCGCCCGATGGGGCAGGCTGGGACATCACGGCCTAGGATTAAAGCGACATTATGGAGAAATCTGGGACAGTCCCAATAGTGTTGCTGGGTGTCGGGGCACTTATAGCATCCTAGTCGACAATCACATTCTTCTACGTCATGCATTCGTCCTGTAGTAATCCACGCTCCGCATAGAGTTTTCCACACGGCGTTAGCAAAGCTCGGTTTCGAATTGGCGAGGACAGAACGGACTTCAGGCCAGTTGATACGGGAGATCTGTTCTCGATGGGACGGGTACCACCTCTCAAGCCAAGACCGAAAATCTCTAGATAATGTATCTGGGAACAGGGAGCTGTACAATGAAATACTCACAATTCTTTGAACTCTGAGGCGCTGCGAGCCGACACGATTCTCAGAAGCGTTTTTCACGGCCTCGAGGGCCTTGGGACCAGCGACAGAGAGGAAACGAAAAGACGGGAAGCCAGCAGCGGCTTCGGCAAGGTCCTGGACCAAAGCCTGATTTTTCCAAAAAGACGGGGACAGCTGGTTGCGGCGGCACTGGACAATGGGCAGGTGTTTCTCGGCCTGACGTCTGAGACCGATCATCAGAGCCCCGTGTTCGGGAAAAGTCGAAATAGCGCTTCGCAGAAGCGTCGCCAACTGGAGGACTGCGACGCTCGGCACAGCGGGTCCCCCCCCAATTCTTCAGATTGAAGAACCCCGATCTGGTGAGACAGCAGTGGGGGACGTTAAAGAGAGACGCGTGCAACGCATGCTCAAGGCGACGGGTGGGGCAGGTGAAGAGGGAGGACATCGAGGGAGGAAGAGAGAACTGACTCACGTATGAGAGGCATGGCACGGCACGCTTGGCATACATGTACTGTGTGATCGACGTCGGAGCACCAATGCGCGAAATCTGAGCTCCTCTCTGAGCCCACTTCTGCAGTGGGGCTCGCCAAGCGTGATCCGTTACAGCTGGTCCCAGCTTCGTGCCGAGATAGACTAGCATAGGTACAACTTGAAAGCTTGCCCACGCGGGCGCATGCTTCTGCAGCCAGAGGGTGTAAAGCGCCGCGAGATCATCAGAGAATTCGCCTGCGAGTGGCACTATATAACACTTAGCTGGCTTGAGTTTTAAATTGGTGGCCCGTTCCCCCCAGTCGAAGATCTCTTTTAGAACCTCTAGAAAGCAAAGTTTAGCCAGAGCAGAGCCAACATCGTCAGCACATGCGCGCGTCAGAGCATATCTATGTCGATCGAGTCGGTCGTGGAACGCAGCTAGCATAGGATGACTTCCAACCGCATATAGGGCCCCCGAGGCAGGACACCCCTGGATTATTCCGCTGGAGAGGTCGAAGAGGTACTGAAGACGACGATTTTGAACACCGAAACATTGAACCATTTCATAGATACTTCTCAGGAGCTTCAAGAGAGGGTCGGGGATGTTAGTTCGGGCTAGGCACATGAACAGCCACTCCTGCGAGACCGAGGGGAACGCTTGGCCGAAGTCGAACGAGATCAGTGCGGGAAGGTTGGCCCACGCCTCCTCGTCCATAGAGCAGATCCTGCAAAACTGGTCGAGTTCGAGAATGTTCAAACCGAAATTGCGACCCCTGACGAACCCGCGCTGCGTGTAAATAATAAAATCTCCCAGGGCCCTCGAGAACTTCTGAATGGCGACCCCCGTCACAATCTTGTTGCAGGTCTGCTTGAGGCCGAGGGGGCGGGTCTGGGCACAGGTCCTGATGATCTCCTCAGAGTCGCCAGGCTCGGACCCCTTCGGGATGAAGGCGCCTCGCACAAAGTTGAAAGACGGAAGAAGGGCTCTGCCTTCGAGAAGCCACCATAAACACCTATCAAGCAACAGAGCTCCCCGAGGATGGTTTTGCCACGCCGCATAGGGTAATCCGTCAAGCCCAGGGGCACTATGAGATTGCTTCTGAATGTAGACTTCTATCCCACGGAGAGTAGGCGGAGGGAGATCACGAAGGTTGGCAGTAGGTGGGTAGGTGTCGAGGAGAGAGACAGCTGCTTCCCGATCAATCGGCTTGGCGGCAAAAACCTTCCCCCAATGCTCTGAGAGCTTCCCCAGAATATCTCCTGGTTCCCGACAGACACCCGAATCATGTCGGAGACCGTGGAGATGAAGGCGGCGATCAATATTCGACCAGAGCCTGCTTCTCCTGACGAGTCCCTTCAGCCTACGTCGATGTTTGTTCTTGTCTCTGTCGCTCGAAGCGTTGGCAATGTTCTGATTAACCTCTTGCATCCTGGAGTTCGCAATCTTCATGTTCAGGTCGTTCGAGACTCGAAGGAATTCGTCAGGCTCTAAAAGTATCACGCGCCGTTGGAGAGGAACGATGTCCAGAAAACGTTCTCCAAGCGGGTGCGAAGCACGGACACGTCGTGCGTATGAAAGATCCTGCCTCCAAGCCGCTCTGGCTACCGACTTGACCACCAGGAACTGGGCCAGGGGACTGCTGGGGTTCTTGATCAGGGTATGGTCGCGGGCATGGCGGGCAGCTTCGCGCATGACCATGGACTGGTACTCGAGTTCCAGTGGCGGGGAGAGGCCATCCGTGGGCCCAGCCTCCAGGGCTTTCTCCAGGAACCTCCGAAACTCCAGACTCTGAAAGATTTCCTGTGGGATGGGTCGCTCGTGGCCGGGGATACTGGGAGCGGCAGCCAGAGAGACCAGGACGGGCGCGTGGTCGGACAGCCCCTGCACGTCCAGCGCCTCAGGGCGCTCGGTCGCTTGGCCCTCAATACTCAACTGGTTGCAGAGCCATCCAGGGCACGAAATAAAACAGCGATCAATTTTTGTCAACTTCTTATCAGGCTTGTAAAAGTGGGTGGGCTCGGGGAACTCCACCTCAACCATCTCCCCCAGGACTCCAGAAAACTGAGACGCCGACTGAGAGCGCCAATTCTGAATGTTCTGGACGGCCGAGACCAGCGGGACCTCTTCTGAGTACCGAGGGGGCTCCGAGCTGAAGTTGAAATCGCCCAAGACTACGACCAGGCACTTGTGCGGCGTCGAACTTGCCGCACGCAACCTGGCACGAATTGAGCTGGACACTCGCTGCTTCGACTCAGCAGGGATCTTAAAATTATGTATGTTAAATATCGATATCCATTCATCTCGAGAGAATTCCAAGATCGTGTGGATGACCCTCCCCACGACGATATCTTCCCTTCCAATGTTGGGGCGTCGTTCGCCGAGATGGTCGAACGTCGGAAAAAACGCGACAACTCCACCTTTTGTTATCGAAGAAGTCGAGGAGGTAGGGGGGGAGAACGAGTAGTGGGTACCGATGTCGGGGCGGTGAGTGTGGTAGAGAAAGTCCTCGAGCTGGGCCAGGGATCCCCGAGTTTCCTGAAGAGCCAGGACACAGCCAGGACCCAAGAATTTGCGTGCAAGATTGAACTTCTGGGAGCAGATAGAATCCTTGTAATGGAAGAAAGCACGAGCGTTCCAGCTGCAAAACTGCATCGGGACTTGTTCTCCCGATTCTTTTGACCAGGTGCTGAAAAGGCTAGGAGCTCCACACTGTCTCGGTGTCACCCTCAAATTCGCGGTCCAGCTCGGAGGCCAGCGCTGCCTTGTCGATGCCGAGGGAGACGAGGTTGGAGACCGAGTACTGGATGTCGGGCTTGGAGTCCCCGTGGCGTGGCGTGACTTTGACACATCCCTTCCACTGGCAACTGATCTCACCCTTCTGCTTGTCAGTGAAGAATCGAAGACCTGGATGTTTCCTTTCAAGAACTCTACGTACTTGTTTGCAAGCCAACTCACGCTTGATCTGGCATGCGTTCTTATCACCTGAGACAAAGACCTCTTGTCTCTCGCCACCGACGTCGACGGCCTCGAACTTTTGCCAAGATCCGTCCTCCTTCTTGAGGGCGCCGAGGGCCTGCGAGACTTTCCTACCAGCATATGGCTTGCTTCCAGAAATTCTGAAGACGAACCGTTTTGACGTGGGACTACCTTCGATGACGTAGTCCTCATTGGAAAGGTTGACACGCTCGAACCAGGGCTGAAGTGCTCGTTCCATGGCGTCCTTTGCCACCAGCTGCTTGGCTCGGGCGATGAGGATGGTGGTGTCGACCATTCGATCAAAAGCAGGATCAGCAGGAGGAGGCTGAGGAGTTTCCTTTTGCATGATGCCAAGAATCGATTGCAGGGCCTTGACCTGGTCCTCCAGCGTCTTGACTCTCTTGTCATGTCCGTCGATTTGTCCCTGGAGGCCGCTGCATCTCTCCTCCATGCGGGTGGCGAGGGACTCGAACGATGATCCGACCTTGTCCGAGACGGTGGCGACGGCGGCCAGCAGCTCGGTCTTGGCTTTGTCGACGTATGCGCGCATCTGTGCGTCTGCGTCCTCAGCCTTGAGCCGCTTGCTCCTCTCATCCTCTGTGGCCATCGCGCGCGGCCACGGGAGTTGGGGCTAAGAGAGACCGATAGGGAGGGAGGATGGAGCAAAAGTGTAAAGCACGTGGCCTGCTCGGGGGAGCACCTTTGGCCACGAGCGGGGGTCCGCCTCGACCGGCTCGAGACGGGGG